GCCAACCACCATTGTAGAGATAGAATTACAATGATAAATAGAGACCCTTCTCTAAAGTTACAGTTCTGTTCAGAAGACAGACACATAAACAGATACTGACAATCTTCTGTGCTGTTAAAAATGATTAAAGAAAACAATTTAGTTAATACTAACAAACTTTATTTCACTTCATGAAGTGGACAGTCTCCTTTTGCAAAACTGAAAAATGGGGCAGAAGACAGAAAGTTTTTGTAGGACAAAAAATAAAGAACTAGGAAGAGAAAAACAGAAAATATCTGATTGGCCAGGGCCACATAGTCAACCTTGTTTGGGATGAAAAGGTCCAGAGTTGGCTTGGTGTTTGGGGATTGGCTGACTGGATATACTGTGTTTCTGGTCAAGTAGAATATTTACAGGAACACAGAAGTTATCTAAGTTTCAGTTTATTGCTCCATCTTGGGCCTAGAAAGTTATTTCAACAGTGCTACGAACTAAGGTATTTGTCCAAGGTGCTCTGGGATTTCTGTGAGCTGGAGAACTTACTATGCCCACAGCACATGTACAAAACATCATGGAAGAGGTAGTATTTGAGCAAAGACTTGAAAGAAATTTGTCACACATATCAAGGGAAATGACATTTCAGGCAGAAAAAAAACAATGTGTGCAAAGACAGAAACATGAGAGCTTTGTGTGTGAAATCACTCATATCCGCTGATGGCTGGAAAGGGGAAAAGTGTGAATGTCGGAAAATGAGGCTGGAGCTACACATCTGAGGGAATTGTTAAAACTTTTATGTGCTCACTAAAAGGCTAAATGCAGTGGTAACACGATGGTCTTCCAATTAGGAAGCCCAAGGGCCTTCCAGTGTACTAAAGCCTTTTGCCTATAGCTAGAGGATTTAATGGTAAGCCTGCAGACAACTGGGATTCTTATGACTAATGTGCTGCTTGGTTTGGGTGTTTGGTGGTTATATATTTGAAATGGCTCATCCTCTACTGATAATGGCTAGTAATGATTTACTCTCTTTTCTTTTTCATCATAAATCTCACATCCTGCCCTTTACTATATGGTCATAGAAAGAGCCTGCCTACCACTTCAACCACTTCTGAAGTAGTGTTTTCTACCTTTTGTTTTTTATAAAGAACATTTCTCAGAATTCAGAGCAGATTGTTCCATTTCTAAAATGCCTAGGTGACATATTGCCTACAGTAAGGCTCATACTGAACTCCAGAGACCCTGTGCCCTACTAAATTTATGCTTCTTCCTTTATTACTCTTAATGTGTTGACCATCTCACTGAACAATTAGTGCATATAATTAATAAAATTTAGATCTTTAGCCTTTAGAACTTCAGTAAGTTCAGAAACTTCTTTAGAATTTTTTCCTATGTTATGCCTCTACTTTAAAACAAATTGGTATTCTATATGCAAAACTCTAGAAATAATGTGATGTTTTCCTGTGGAGCAATTAATAACTAGGTGATTCATTTTGATTCATATTCATTTTATAATTTTTAAAACTCTTTGAGTATATATTTTGAGGTGTACAAATGTTATGTGTATACCTCCACAGTGTTCTAGATAAGGAATGTGTTCTAGACATTGCAGTAGTAGAAGGATAAAGAAATGGGCATGTGGCTTAGTAAAGTGAGAAGTATTATTAAGATATGAGGACCAAAGACTCATTTTCCAGGAGGATCGCTTTCTCGGGCCAAAGGCAAATGGGCACTGAGAACATGGATGCAATAGCATCTGAGTTGGAATTTTTTTCTTGTTGGATTACTGCATTGGGTACATTCCCATCTAAAAGCAAGTGACTTACGGGGCACCTGAGTGGCTCAGTCATTAAGCGTCTGCCTTCGGCTCAGGTCATGACCCCAGGGTCCTGGGATCAAGCTCCGCATTGGGCTCCCCGCTCTGCGGGAGGCCTGCTTCTCCCTCTCCCACTCCCCCTGCTTGTGTTCCCTCTCTCACTGTATCTCTCTCTGTCAAATAAATAAATAAATAAATCTTAAAAAAAATAAAATAAAAGCAAGTGACTTACATGTGGTATTCAATCTAGTTTAGGAGACAAATATGTACCAAAAAATCATAAAAATGCAAAGCACTATATAGTAAATATAAACACTGGCTTTTGTGTCAATGATATAATAGAAAAATAATCAAATAGTGTAATAAGAATAGTCTCTGATATGTGTATTCATTTTGGGTATGTACTTAGATATTTCCAGTGGGGATGAGATAAGGCACCAAATAACCAAGTCACAAATTTGTCTCAATTCCTAAGGAGTAGAAGAGAAACTATTTACTCAGTGGCTTTAAGTCAATAGCAGGGATTCTTAATGAGATGACATAGCTTATCATTGGAGTAAACATTTTCAAACCACCATATTCAGCCTGTTGTTTACCTCCTTACTTCATGCCTCCTTCCCACTTTGAGATTCTGATACATACCTTCTGCTGGTGGTAAAATTTATATTATTCATGGGTAGTGCATACTATAGGAAATAGATGAGATACTGAGAATCACTGGTGTTAGGATTCATTGTAAAAGACATTAATCCAATTATTGTACCCTGAATCTTAGCTCTTAGACTTCTTGTCTTCCTTCATAATACTATCCAGTTTTAGAGCTTTAATCAGCATTTGTAAAATATAAGCTAACAAGCACAGAGAACTGAAATAACTTGCATATAGCTGCTATATGCAGTAGGGTTGGGTTGTAAATCTTATAGTTTATCTTTGGAATCCATGCTCTTAATGGTTATGCTATAATGCCTCTCTTGCTTTTTTAATTTTATAAGAGCTCTTTTTGAAATATTATTTACATATGATAAAATTTATGTGTTAAGTGTACAATTCAATGATTTTTAGTAAATTTAGAGTTGTGCAACTATAACCATAATCTAGATTTAGAATATTTCTATCACCTCTAAAAGAAATTCTCCAAAAATTTGTAGTCACCATCCATTCTCAACCCCAGCCTCAGGCAGCCACTAATCTACTTCCTGTCTCTATAGATTTGCCTTTCCTAGACAATTACTGTGAATGGAAACATACAGTATGTGACCGTTTGTGTCTGGCTACTTTCACTTAGCATAATGCACTTGAGATTCATCCATGTTGTTGTCCTTATTTATTTAAAATTTTTTAGAGAGAGAGAGTGAGTGGGAGTGTGTGAGCAGGAGGAGGGGCAGAGAGGGAGGGACAGAGAGGATTTTAAGCAGGCTCCCACCCAGTGCAGAGTCTGATGCTGGGCTCGATCTTGAGCCTGAGATCATGATCTGAATGGAAGTCAAGAGTCAGTCGCTCAACCAACTGAGCCACCCAAGTGCCCCCATGTTGTTGTCCTTATTCCTTTTCATTGATGACTAATATCCTATTGTGTGAATATACCACATTTCATTCATTCATTATTTGATGGACATTTAGGTTGTTTCCACCTTTTGGCTATCATAAATAATTCTGTTATGAACAGGTCTTTCTGTGGACATCTGTTTTCATTTCTCTTAGATAACAGAGAAGTAGAGTGGAACCACAGGATTTTATAGGAAGTATATATTTAACTTTTTAAGAAACTGACATAATGTTTTCCAAATTGTGCTTTAGCATTATACATTTCCACCAGTGATTTATGAGGTTCCATTTTCTCCAAATTCTTGTAAACACTTGATATTGTCAGTCTTCTTTATTTTAGCCATGCTAATACACATGTAGCAGTATCTCACTGTGATTTTAATTTGTACTTCCCTAATGGCTGATGATGTTGAGTATCTTTTTATGTCCTTATTAGTTGACAGAATATTTTTTATTAAATGTGGAAGTATTGCATAATTTTTTAAATGTATATATATATTTTTATTAAATGTATATTTAAATATCTTGCTCATTTTCAAATTGGGCTGTTTTTCTCATTTTTGAGTTGTAAGAATTATTTATGTTTTTAATATAGATTCTTTATCAACATACAATTCACAAATGTATTTACCCACTTTATGGCTGTCTTTTTATTTTCTTATGGTGTCTTTTGAAGAGCAAAATGTTTAAATTTTGTTGAAGTCCATTTTATCATACTTTTTATTTTTTTATAGCTCATACTTTTGGCAGTCTAAGAAATCTTTGCCTGACTCCAGGTTACAAAGATTTTGTCCTATAATTTTTTTAGAACTTTTAGCTCTTAAAATTTGACCTATGTTCCATTGGAGTTGATTTTTGTTTCTGATATATGTTCTTTTTTTTTGCATGTAGATATTTTCCCAGCACCATTTATTGAAAATACTATTTTTTTCTGCACTGAATTGCCTTGAACCTTAGTCAAAGTCAATTGACCATATATGTGGAAGTTATCTCTGGACTTTATATTCTTTTCCTTTGATCTATATTGCCTAGCTTTAGAACAAACCCATGCCGTATTGATTACTGTAGCTTATTGGTATGTTTTGAAATTGGGAAGTGAAAGTACAGTTTTTTTTTTCTTTTTAAATATGTATTGCCTATTCTAGATCCTTTGTATTCCTATATAACTTTTAGGATCAGCTTGCTATTTTTATAAAAAAAAAGCTTCTGAGATTTTGATAAGAAATGTGTTGAATCTATTGATCAATTTGGAGAGAATCTTAATGATGTTAGGACTTCTATAAACATGGAATATCTAAAACCTGTTATTTGCAATTAAAGAAAGTTTTGGTTTTTTTACTTTCCATTTTTTTATGTCTTTAACTTTTTTAGCTTGCCTAAATTTTTTTAAAGATTTTATTTATTTATTTATTTGAGAGAGAGAGAGCACACGCATGAGCAGTGGGAGGGAGCAGACTCGGGGATAGGTGCAGGGCTCAGTGTGGGGCTCGATCCCAGAACCCTGAGATCATGACCTGAGCCAAAGACAGATGCTTAACCAATTGAGCCACCTAGGTACCCCATAGCTTGCCTAAATTTTTAAACAGCTTTACTTAAATATGATCCACATGTCCTATAATTCACCCTTTTAAAGTGTAAAAGTAAATGTTTTCTGGTATATTTACAGGGTTGTGCAGCCATCACCAATATGTAATTTCAGAATACTTTAGTTGCAGAGAGTGGACATCCTTATCTTGTTCCTGATCATAGGAGAAAATAGTCTTTTATCATAAAGTATGGTCTAGATGTAGATTTTTCATAAATGTTACTTATTAGTTGAGAAAATTCCCTTCTATTTCTAGTTTTTTTGAGAGTTTTGGATCATAAATTGGTGCTGAATTTCATCTTCCTGCTGTTGCCCTTCAAGTTATCCTTCACACAGCTGTCAGAATAATCCTAAAATGTTAGATCAAATCACCATTCTACTCAAAATTGTGCAATACCTCCACATTTCATTTAAGGTGAAAACCAAAATATCCTCGGAGGGTCTTGTACTATCTAGTCCATTTCCCATAGTTTCCTTTTTAAATTCGTCTTCTATTAATCTTTTCTCTTCATCTCTCCACTGTAGCCACAGTGGCCTAGCTGCTTTTCCTTGAATACACTGGACTAACTTCTACCTCAAGCTTACTCCCTCTACTTTGTTACTCCCTCTACTTTGAATGTTCTTCCTCCAAGTGTCTATAAGGCTCACTCTCATTTCCTTCAGGTTACTGCTTAAATGTCACCTACTCAGGGAGGTATTCCCTGAACACCCTATTAAAAATTGCAATCCTTCCCCAATACTTTCTATTCACATATTATTTTTCTTCCTGCGGCATATTACCTTTTACTATACTATATGATTGAGAGATTGATTGATTGATCTTTTTAATTTTTTTGTCTTCCCTTTACTCAAATGTAAGCTCTAAGAGGTCAGCACTCTTGGTATGTTTACTAATATACTTACATTGCTTAGAATATTAGCTGGCACATAGATGGTGATCAAAAAATATTTGAGGACTACACCAAAGAATCAGGAAACTTTTAGTCAGTTCTGGACCAGATTTGTTGGGTGATATGGACAATTTCCTTCCCTTCTGTTTCATCATATATAAAACATCTGAGGGGATAAAACTGGATGTTTTTATTAGGCTCTTTCTGCTCTGAAATTCCACGAAAGAGGCTATATGCCCACTGAAGAGAATAAGTTGAGATATTATTAAGGAATCATATTAAGGAATCATATTAAGATGCTTTTGCCTGGAACCCTAAAAATACCTAAACCCTGTCTGCCCAGCCTACACCTCTTCTCTGCAAGATCCCCATAGAAATACATGCTTTTAGGAAAGAAAACTCAATTCATTAACTCATTCATTCAGTGGATATGTATTGAACACCTACAATGTGCTAGGTAATGTGCTAAGCTCCTGGCACACATCAAAGAGAAAACAAGGCAAAGACCCATAGCCTTATAGTAAGGAGAAAAAAAATGATAAATAGAAAAAATAAATGTATGGCATGTTATATGTTATGTGCTATGGTAAAAGAAAGAGGATGGTAAGGTTTACTAACCTAAGGTAGATAGTAAGCTGAGTGGAGGTCAGGGTGGGCCTCATTTAGAAGACAGTAATTAAGCAAAGACTTGAAAGAGGTATGAGGGCATAACAAGTGCAAAGGCCATGCTGTAAGAGAGCCTGGCATGTTGAAAGAGCAGCAAGGAAGCCAGTGTGGCTGGAACAAAGTGGAGAAGGGAGGGCATTGTAGGAGATAAGCCAGAGAGGAACAGATGACAAGGTCATACAAGACCCTATTAGCCATGGAAAGGATTTTGGCTTTAGTCTGTATAAGATGAAGAAGCATTAGGGGCACCTGGGTGGCTCAGCCGGTTAAGCATCTGCCTTCAGCTCAGGTCATGATCCCAGGGTCCTGAGATTGAGCCCCACATTGGGCTCTCTGCTCAGTGGAGAGCCTGCTTCTCCTTCTCCCTCTGCCTGCTGCTCCACCTGCTTGTGTGCTCTCTCTCTCTGTCAAATAAATAAAATATTTTACAAAAAGATGAGGAAGCATTAGAAGGCTCTTGTGTAGAGAATATACTATAAGGGGAAAGGGTGACAGCAGAGGCTAGTTAGGGGGCCATAGTAGTAATAAAACTAACTTTTTACTATGGTGGAATAGAAACCAGCTTTTGCGCAGCAAATGGTAGGGTGACAAGGGAGCCAGGATGCTGCAAAACACAGTGAAATGAGAGCAGTAATGGAGGGGAGGGTGTGTGTGCTTGTGCACACATGTATGCACACATGCAGGGCTAAAAAAAGGCTTCCTTTCTATCTGTATCTTTTACCCCCAAAGAAAAGAATTTCCTGGATTGCCTCTTAACTTCCTGTCTCGTTTTTGCATAAAGATCAAAGCAGGCCAAACCATGGAGTGGAATTGAGTCCCTATGATCTGAATGTCACATTTTGAGGGGTTTCTGACCTTTCTTGAAAAGCCCACTAAGGATCATTTGCTGTACAATAGATCTCTAGGACTTATTCATCTTGCAAAACTGAAACTTAGTACTTTTCACTAATATCTCCCCATTCCCTCCCCACCAGCCCCTGGCAACCACCATTCTACTCTCTGCTTCTATGAGTTTGACTATTTTAGATCCCACATATAAGGGAGATCCTATATAGTATTTGTCTTTCTCTGTCTGGTTTATTTCACTTAGCACAGTGTCCTATAGGTTCATCAATGTGGTTGAAAATGGCAGGATTTCTTTCTTTTGTTAAGGCTGAATAATATTCCATTGTATGTATATACATTTTCTTATCCACCTATTGATGGATACTTAGATTGCTTCCATGTCTTGGCTATTGTGGATAATGCTACAATGAATTTTGGAGTGCAGATATCTTTTTGAAATCCTGATTTCAGTAACTTTGGACATATATTCCCAAAAGTAGGATTGCTGGCTCCTATGGTAATTCTATTTTTAATTTTTTGAAGAACCTCTATACTGTTTTCCAGAGTTACTGCACCAATTTACATTCCTACCAACAGTGCACAAGATTGTCTTTTCTCCACATCCTCATCAACACTTGTTATCTCTTGTCTTTTTGATAATAGCCTATCTAACAGGTAAGAGGTAATATCTCATTGTGATTTTCATTTGTATTTCCCTGATGATTAGTGACGTTGAGCACCTTTTAATATACCTGTGTCCATTTGTATGCCTTCTTTGGAGTAATGTCTATTCAGGTCCTTTTCTCAATTAACAATATTCAATGGTATACTTAAAAATTTGCTCAGTGGGCAGATCTTATGTTAAGTGTTCTTGTCACACAAAACAATAACAACAATAATAATAAGAGGGTGGAAGGAAAGTTTTGGAGGGGACGGATATGTTTATGACATAGATTGTAGTGATGAGGATATTAGCCTGGGTATAGTCAGGCTGCTTTATGCTATAGAAAAGCTTGAAGGGATCTTGAAATTTGAAGCAAGGTAAAGAGAAAGAAGAAAGGAAGAAGGGAAGACAGTATGACATGGGATGTCAGAGAGCAGTAGGATGTGTTTAAGAACGAATGAAAGCACAGCATAATCTGGCTTGTGAAGTACCCTGCCCTCACCAACATCTGCTTTCTCCTCTCTACTCTGTGGCTAGGTAGGATGGGCAAGAAGTATATGGGAAGGAAGAGAGAAAAGTTATATAAATCAGTTCCACTCTTAATCAGAAATCAGTGCCCTTTGCATCTTGCTTTGATAATCTATTTATTGTGGTCTTATTTGCCATGTCCCCAGGACTGCTGGGTAGACATAAAGTAATTTCCCCTTGGCATTACTCATAAAAGGCAGTATCTTGGAAATACTAATATAAGTGGAAAGAAGGAACACAGTTTTCTTTATTAAACCTTCATGGAATCTTTTAAGTATCCAACACGAGGAACAGGTTTATCAGTGAAATACATTTTTTGTGTGTCAAATTCTTTGAATTATGAAATCCCCTTTATGCCTTAAAAATAAAAGGTGGATTTTTGGGATATTGCAGGCTAACTTGAGAATTAAGCTTTTGTCCTAGACAACATGGAAAATTTTATAAATATTGAAGGGATTAGTTAGATCTGCAAGGACACTTGCCATCTAGTTCCTCTTACTGTTTAGATGGGAGAACTAAAAATAAGATGGATACATATTTGTTGAAGAGCATACACTTGGTTTCTGCCATTTAGTCTAGAGTTCTTGCTAATACACACCTGAGCATGCTTGTTTTAATCAGCCTGCTTTGCGCAATATCTAGTATTGCTCCTCTGATCATTTGTGAAGTGTTACACATTCACCAGGTTTAACAATTAACTAGGATTGGAGATGCTGGCCAGTTGGCCCCCTAGAACTCCAAGAGGATGGCATAGATTGAATCTAGTATAACCAGGAGATATACTGATTAGCTAGAAATAACTCATCAGAGCTAGGCTCCAAAGAACTCTGAATTTCTGCTGTGTAGGTCCCATTTCTACATAGGAGGTTACTATCTAGGCCAAGGGAGGTTGAGGCTCAAAATTCTTTAAAGAAATCATAGGGGAAATCTTAGAATAGATTATTTAAGCAGACTAATGCAGGAAAATGAATATGTGGGCATGACAAATCATACCCCATTCAGATTTTCATTGAGGAGTCCATGCAGTCTCTCCTACATGTTGTTCCTATAAAGAAAGCATGAGCTCTCTAGACTTAACCTCCGAGGTTTTTGATGTCCTCCATTACCTTTGTATTTTTTTTCCTGGCCAGTTGTGTGTGTGTGTGTGTGTGTGTGTGTATGTATATGTGTTCTCCAAGAGTCATCTCCTTCAACAAAGCTATAACAGTTGCTGTGAACAGCAGAGCCATCTTTTGTACCTGTTCATTATCAAGGTAAAGATATTCATCTCTCCTTTCCAGTGCAGTCTTTAAATTGGTTAACTCACTTGATAGCCTGCTGAGAATTATTTAATAAATAATTAAACTGCTATCAGGAGTGAATGAGTCAGGACCTGGTGTTTTCAGCCTTCTTTGAGGAGGAGGGCTGGGTGAGGGAGCTCAGCTAAGGCAAATAATTATATTTGTTTTTCTAAAGGTGGTAAGGTGGAATTCAAATCTGATCTAAAAATCTGAATGCTGCTTTGAGAGGCTCTCTAATTCATTTAATTCATCCCTTGTGTTCATAAAGACTTCAATCTCAGTATAAACAAAATCCCATTATTCTTAGGGGCACCCCATCGCTGGTGAATGGACATTCAGCTGTGTTTACCACCATTCATTTTAGCTTAATCTCATTTTCTGTTCTCCTTTCTTTTAGGTTAACAATTCATGCTGAGTGCCCCATGCATTTGGAAGATTTTCCTATGGATGTGCATGCCTGCCCACTGAAGTTTGGAAGCTGTACGTATTTTCTCACTTTCTGTTTACCTGATCTTCTTCCAAAAGAAACAGTATTTCCTGTTCTGCCCCCTAGTAGTTTCTAAAGCTGAAGCCTTGAATTCAGGGTGGTATGGGAGTGGGGAAGGGGAGTGGGGTTGAATAATACTAAGTGATCAGAAGGACGAGACTTAGCTTTTAATAGATTTCTTTCTAGAAAGAAAACATTATCTCACCATTTCAGACTCATTTCTATCATTAGATTGAAAGAATAACATCTGTTTCCTAAATTGTCCAGAAGATATAGCAAGTAAGCGCTAATATACTGTGATGAACACTGGGTGTTATATGTAAGTGATGAATCACTGTATTGTAACACCTGAAACTAATGTTACACTGTATGTTAACTAACTGGAATTGAAATAAAAACTTGAGAATGAATGAATGAATAAAAAGACAGAGCTAATATGGAGTATAGTAGCAGCTTCCAAAGGACAAGATCCCCAAAAGAGAATGTGTTTTTATTTTTGAAATGCCTATTCTATTTGCATCTCATATAGTTCTATCTAATTCTCTACAGTAAATGGTAGATAGAAAGAGACTCTGGAGATTTTGTTATTTTTACAGAGTATTGCCTTTACCAGTAACTGTAAATCTGAAAGAGAAATGAGTAGATACATAGCCCATTTTCAAATAAATTCGAAAAATCAAAATTGAATAGAATTTGAGTGAGTTTTTAACTCTAAGAATTTTAGAGTAAGTTTCATATAGGGAGTCATCTGAGCAATATATCAAGGTCTGTGTTGATTGTGTCTAGATTAAATTTAGCTCTATATTTTCAAGTAGTGCATTTGAAAAGATCCAAATAATTACATGTGACATATTTTTTCAATCATTGTCAAATACTTATAAATTGTCTCTTATATGCCAGGCTCTATTGAAGGAGTTTGAAATACATCCATGAATAAAACAGAGACCATGTCTTTGTGGAGCTTATATTATAGAGGAGAGCGTGATGGTGGAAAATAAAATAAACAACAGATTAAAAAGTAAAGTATAAAGTATGTTATAAAGTGAAAATCATCATGGGAAAACATAAAAGTACTACAGAGTAAGGGGAATCAGTCCTGTCTAGGTGGAAGATAGGTGTTGCAATTGAAATTTAAAATAGGGTAATCAGCATAGGTCTCTTCGAAAAAGTGACAATTGAGCAGAAATTTTAAGGAGGTAAAAGCATTAACAATACAGATATTAGAGGAAACTGTGCTCCAAGTAGAGGGAACATCCAGGGATAAGAAGCTAAGTCAGAAATGTGTCTGGCTTTTCCAAGGAAGATTAAAGTGTCCAGAATGGCTGGATACAGTAAAGGAGAAAGCACTAGGAAAGGATGAGATCAAAGAAGAGGCCAGGTCATCTATAGTCTTGTAGGATATTAAAGGGCTTTGAATTTTACTGAGAGAAAATGAGGAGTGGTTGGAAAATTTGGAACAAAATGATTACATTATCTGGGGAGAGAGGAAAGATGGCAGAGGAGTAGGGGACCCTATTTCAACTGGTCCCCGGAATTGAGCTGGATATCTACCAGACCACTCTGAGCACCCACGAAATCAGCCTGAGATGTAAGAAGATCTGGATCTCTACAAACAGAATAT